TCTTGAAATTATCTTCATTTTCCCAAGACATTTCCCTCTATGAAACTATTTGATACAGTGTAATGCAAAATACACAGCAACACTGTGCAGCTACTGAGTAGAAGCGATATTTGACCTCAAAAGTTAAAGCTTTGTAAAGGAAAGCAGATACAAAAGAAATATGATTAATCTGAATCAATGGAGAACACAACAGATGTAGGAGAAGAAAGAAATCATGAACAAATCTTGATTCTCAAGCAAAGAATCATAGAATCACAGACTGGTTTGGGTTGGAAGGGACCTTAAAGCCCATCTAGTTCCAACCCCCCTGCCATGGGCAGGGACACCTTCCACTAGACCAGGTTGCTCCAAGCCTCATCCAGCCTGGCCTTGGACACTTCCAGGGATGGGGCATCCACAGCTTCTCTGGGCAACCTGTCCCAGTGCCTCCCCACCCTCTCCGGGAAGAATTTTTTTCCTGATACCTAATCTAAATCCCCCTGCTTTCAGTTTAAACCCATTACCCCTTGTCCTATCACTACATGCCCTTTTAAAAATACTTATCAGTTCATAAGTTTTACTGTTGAAAAGAGTCACTCAAACCCTTTTGATCAACTACGTTATTTTAAAAATTTTACTTCCAAGTTACAGCTCAACGATTAGCAGATACAAATTAACCAACAATGCCTCACAACAAAAACCAAAACACGAACATTAACATTGTTGCGCAAAGCTTATTTTTAAAAAAAAGCTACCAAAGAAAGGTCAGTTAATTCATCATGATGGATTATCACTAAAATTTATAAGCATTAGCATTTTTCTCCTTGCTGGATACCTTGACTTTGATATGACACATATTGAATGAATCATCTAAGATGCAGGCACCAGGCAAGATATATCTTAATGCAGACAGGTCGGCTACATGAACCCTAATGGTCCTTATCTTAATCTTGTTTAAAAGCATCTTAGATTTCTGAGTAATCTTTTCACCTCCTGATGTTCTCTTTTATAGAGTGCTTTTGCAGAAGTTGCTACTGATTTTCACATAAATGCATTTTTGTTGCATACTATCACCAGTTTTAGTAGCCCTAAAAATGACCTAGGTTTGCAATTTAGCAAATGTTAGGATTAAGCTTATTTTGAAAGAAGTCAGTGTGTCAAAACTCTGATAATGACCATAAAAATGTGTATGTTATTGTAGGTTACCCCATTGGTGAAACACAACATCACAGCTGTTCATAACAAACAGACACCTACCAAATGTGGAGACATATCTGATGCATTGTTTTCTTCCCATCCACATATTTTACTCTGTTGTATTAACAACCCCAGATAATCGCTACATGTATATTTTAATATACTCTTCAATAAAAATGCGGTTATTCAAATACCTGATTAAGATAAAGGGAAGTGTCTATACTACTGCTTTTTTCATATTCACATTGCATCTAGTAATTTCAAAGTACAGAGTTAACAAGGTGGCAGGTTTTTACCACAAAACTGCACTGAGCTCTTACTGCCTTGATTAACAAAAAAACCCCAAACAAAACAAAACAACCCCACACACACACAAAAAAACCCAAATCAGGGGATGGAGGAGAAAGCAGAGAGGAAGATAGCAGATGAATTATTTTTAATTGAAATTTTTTTTTCAGTGACAGCAGTTCATTAGGTAAAAAAGGTCTTTGGAAAGTACCTTCTCAGCCTGACAAAGTATTTTCTTAAAGTGATCATTAGGGAAACAGAAGGCTTCCAATGTTGTAGACTTTAAATTCTTTACAAAACAGTTCAATAGCATTCTATAGATTATAAATATCTTCTTGTAAGAGGCACAGCAGAACAAAATATAGACAAGTAACTACTACCTCTTCCTGGCAGTAGACAGCTTCTTCAAAGAAATCTAGACTCTCCCAGAAAATAATCTACCTGAATAAACGTTAATAGAGAACAATGCAAGCCTTTAACGGATGCTTTTTGCACACATTAGTACTGGAAGGTGTACATACGCAGTACATCAACGTGCTCTGCTGACATTGATAACAGTCGCCTCAGATTTCTATACACAGCATCCAGTTTTCTTATTTTATGATTAATGTGGTGACATTCAGAAATTTTACTTGCCCTCTGTTTATTTGCACAATAGAAACTTTTTAGTATGTTGATACCTCTTCTAAGTGAGTATGAGATACTTTTTCTTTCTACTATATGCTTCAGAAGATTGAAGCAAATCATCAAATTTCTGACAGTTTGTTTCTTCAGACCCAACATGAATACAGAGGTCAGCACGTTCACCAACTACTGGTGAGATGTCTTCTTTACTGTGTACAAAGCAAACAAATTCAAGAAAAAATACAGCAAAATAAATATTACCCATAAAAGCCCCTTAAATTCCAAACTGGGAAGTTCAAATGTCATTATTCATTCTACTTCTGCCATAAATTTATTTCTGACATTGTGTAATGACAGGACAAGCAGTAAGAGAACACTGCTTGGGTGCTAGCTCTGGGGTCCCAACAGCATTCATCACAAACCATCTGGCAGTGCAATAAGATGCTACTTCTGTCTCTAGCAGCCTCCCTATATACAAACAAGGAAAGTAACAGACAATTTACTACCTGAATTAAATTAATACTGGGCTTTCCAGGACAATAAAGTTAACCGTATTTGCAAATCAGAATAACTAGGGATATCTGTAAAGAGGTTTTCAGGCAAACAGGTAAAAATGTGCAGCATGCATGCTGCTAGTCAGGTACTGAAACAGACAGACCTACCCAAGGAACAGGACTCCGTCAGAGATGCAAAGCAAAGGACATCATTGCTGAGCCACAGTTCTTAAAACTAAACCAGAATGTTGAACTGAAAAATGCACCTGTAAGTGTACGCAAACCGAAATGCAGTGTACATGCCTAAATTCATGGTCCGCCAAATCACCTGGATACATGGTACTCAAAATTCAGTGTTGCCTCCAGCCTTCCAGACATTTAAAAAGACTTTATTTTTCACTTAATCCAGAGTTGAACCATAGAACAGGTTGAGCCTTCAAAAAAATCTGCTTAACTCAAAATAGTAAGATACATGACCATGTATATTAATCAGATCTTGATAGCCTTGAACAATTCCTTTAAAAGTTGCAGTTTAAGGAGACATAGCGATTTCCCCATTAAAATCTTTGAAAATCAGTTTTGAAATGGAAATGTGCAGATAAGCCATATTCTGTATGATAATGAAAGAAAAATACCTTGTTTTCCCTGTACTAATACACTTACGCTTATATTATCCTGTGTTTTCAACATATTAATCTCAGACATAAAGACAACCCAATCCAGCACAGAAGAAGTAGAATGAAAAAGGGCATACCATAGAAAAATATTGGCAATGTGATTTTAAAATATCATCCTTCAATTGTCGGCAATTTATATTTATCAATACTTTCGCTAGGATCATGGAATTGTTCCCACAAAGGAAAAAAAAACAAAACTCTCAACGTGTTTAGCTAGGTGACCTTTCAGTGAAACATAAGGGCAGTGAGAGGGGGAAGGGTACCAGAGCTGTCCGGCAATCTCTGCTCTATTAAATGTCATTACAAAACCTCTCCATACTTTCAATTTGGATTACTATTCTCCTAAATGCTTTCATAAATATTTGCCAGGTCTGTATACATAAGATCAACCATCACATGCTGTTCAATGTTATAGTAAAAGAATAATGATGATAGTGAAAACTGAAATATGATCCCATTTCAATTTTTAAATAAAATGAACGCAAAATATATTTTCATATCATTAACTTTGCATGTAAGTGCAGAGTTTTGTGAGCTAGATTAAATAAATTTATAGTCAGCTATCTCCTTTTTTCAGTGACTGTACATTACCTGGTCTAATGTGGTCACCTAATGGTTACTGTCAGTAATTGCACTGATGACTGTAATTCTTTATAGACACCCTCATTTTGCAGCCTCTTCAGTTAAATAATATAACTCACATGAAGGTTTTGTAAAAAAGAAGAAATAGATTTTATTTCTTTTTTAAAAATATTCTCTGTTAAGAAACCTTAAAGATGAGGGAAATGGTCTGAAACCTTTATTTCCATTATGCTGGGGTTTTTGTTCGTTTTGATAGGATTTTTGGGGTTTTGGGTTTTTGAGCAGTTTTTGTTTTGTTTGTTAAGAGGATTTTTTTTTTTTAAATCAAAAATGATGGTTGAAAATGAACAAAAGTCACCTTCTTGCAAGCATTAGAAGAAAAGTGGGCATGAATTACAAAATTATATTGCAGGTTTATATTCCCATTTCTCAACTGTTAATAGTTCTAACTGTCATTGATAAATAACAGTAAGAACTAATAGAGAAGAAAGCAGAACTTCTGTGAGGTACAGATTAACAACCTTTAGATATCTGTTGTCAGTGAAATTAGGTATTACGTAGCTTGAAATTGAGAAATTTGATACTTTTCAGCCAACGCCAGTGAGCAATTCACCCGGACTCAAGGAAGATATGCTAGAGTCACGAGTGCAGTGAAATGGAACAAGAAACAAGTAATGAAGAAATTAACTGTATGAATACTGCGTTCACATAGCACACAAAGAACATGCAAAGGCATCCTTGCTGCACAGTCACACACGCACAGTTTCCTTTCCTGATGTGTACTCACACAGAGGTGATTTTTTTCTTGTAAATAATTTCAAAACATTTAGAAAAGCAATTTAAGAAAAAAAAAAACCTGCAGCTCAGTCTGGGTTTTCTTTTTTGGTAAAGGTAATCAAAACAACTGTACTCGTTAACTAAGATAGAGACATCTGATGAAAACAAACATGGGCATGTTTTTTCATGAAAGCACACTTGTATGCCAGTCAGCATGACATCCAAGAAATCACAGTGTAATACAGTCAAAACGTATTGTTCCAATACGGCGAGTTTACAAACATTCCTATATGTTAATGCATAAACCAAAAGATCCCACAGGACATTTTCAAGTAGAGTGTGGGTGGTTTTAGAGGAAGAATATGAATTCAGATCTCCTTACCTTATAGGACGGCAAAAAGCACAAAATTCCTTGGCCGACTGTTCGACACACTGAAAGCAGAAGTGCTCCCACCTCATCTTGGAACTCAAACGTCTCTGTATGCTGGAACGTGGCACACAACTTCCGACCGTTAGGGCCTGCTCCAATGGTGCCAACCCAAACCTGGTGTATTTCATATTTTAAAAGTTAATTGTAAAATATATGACACAAGCTATATTAAATTACATTAGGTTAAATAATGGAATTGTAAATGTGAAGGAAAATATTGAGATATTTCTAAATAAATTAATGCCAGTGCTTAAAATCAGAAGAGAAAGGGCAACAACTGAAAGAAGATGGCTATTACCAAAGTAGTATGACTTCAAGTTTCCACGTCTAAAAACTTTGCCCTTTTTCATTTGAATATTCACAATTGCATTAATCCAAGCAATAGTCTGTCCTATATCCTTCTTTTTACTTACAGGATGTAAAACATCATCATTTTTATTTGCAAGTTATTGCTTCTTTTACAGTGGTCAGCATTACACCTCAGGAGAAGGAACAACTCTGCGAAAGTTTACCTGTGAGTTCTGAATTATGTGATTGGCCTCCAGCTGAATAGAAAACTTCACACCAAGCTCTGAAGAAAATGAATCCATTGGAGAGAGTGTACCAGATGTCAGAACAATTGTCCTAACATCACTTAAGTCTGAAAAAGCCTACATTGGAGAAAGAAAACAAGGAATTTAGACAACCAATACAGCCACTTCAAGATCTTTTACATGTTTGTTATCACTCAAATTACTTAAGGCCTTCTACTTAACACTCAGCTTACCACAGCAGGATTCAAGCACCAAAAATTAAGCATGAGGACTGCAGTTTTCTGCCGAAAATTCCTTCTATGCTTGGGCCGTGTAAGGAAGGCACTTGTATCTGAAACATCAAGCTGGTTTTCGTTCACCCAGGTGTAAGATTGTTGTAGAGCAACTCTGTAGTCATCTGCATACCTACATAGAGATGTATAAATATCAATACAACTACAATTAAGCAATCAAACTGTAAGCATTAAGCTAATACAAAGCAAAGACTACCATGCATTTACAATTTAATTATAAATAATAATTTTATACAGTTTATTGTCTAAAAATAGAAAAGCTGTAGATTGTGAAGTGTGTAAAACAGCATTCACTAGAGGTAGGCAATTCTACTCAAGATGTAAAATTTCAACAGTTGCCAGTTTCCCTTTCAGAAAAAAATGAATCTTAAAAAAAAAGAATATTTAAAAATATGGTTTAAATAAAATATATTTAGTAACTGCTGGAATTAGTAGTCAAGGTATCAAGACAGTCAAACAATAAGGGTTATGTAGAAAACAAAACCCATGCATATTTAACTTGGCAATGCAGCAAGAAAATTTATTCCCAACCTTCAAATAAAGTTCTTCAATACTTGAATTAATTTCTGAATAATAAAAAAAATAATTTGGTAGTATTTAAGTTCTTCCCACATAAACAGATTTTCCAAAGCTTAATGAAATGTTAGTTTTGCTCAGAAGCCAGACACCATAACTAAGTTGTTGCATAAATGAAAGAGGCAGTTTGGCACAGCAGCTGAATCCACCACCACCACCACTCCCCAGCTCAGGCTGTGTTTGCACTGACCTGCTATTATCCTTAAAAAGATACAAAAGAACCATGAATAACCCTTTCAGCACAATCTGAGTGGCAGGGCTCACAACAGGTATCTCAATAAGTTCCTCTTTACCAAGCACTGATATTTTTTCTTCTTTTTCCAGGACAGTAACAAGATGTTTCTATAGGAGGCAAACAAATTCCACCTTAACAACATCCTAAGTATCTTCTCAAAACCAAAGCTAATACAGATACAAGACTACCAGCACCCTGTTTTAAAAGTTCACCTAAGATACTTATAAAGTCAGAAGGAAGACAGAATTGGAAAGGAAAAGTAACAATGCTTTTAACATATTTGACTTCGCAGAAGGGAGAGAGAAGCTTGAAACAGGGTAAATACATTTCAACAGTCAATAAAAATGTGGATGGATAGAACAGACAAAAATATCAGTGACTCAACAGTTCAATTTAAATAACTGTACATGATCAATTACATCCTTTAAAACACTGATTCTCCACAAATTCCAGTAGCTCAAGTGGATTACTCCTGGTTTCCATCAGGTATCATTTTCAGACAGCTTTTCAATATTGCAATAAACTAAAAGATCAGTTCACATTTGACTTCTGTACATTTTAAGATGTTTAACACCGTCAGTATTACGCACTCTGATACTCATTTATATACCATACCTGTAAAATGGGAAAAGTAATACCAGTTATTCCCATTTGGTGCAAAATGGGGAGCACTTCTTTTCCATTCCAAACCTTGCAGTAAGTTTCATACCCTCTTTCTACTAGTTGACCAGAGCTCTCCTGTAACCAGCTGTAAGAGAAAGAAATCAGAAATAATTTCAGCATTAATTTTAGAGATACTTTGCAGGTACAAAACAACAACAACAAAAAAGTCAAACATTGCATCAGACTTCTGTGATGATGATAAATATTTTACTACATCTAAGTAGAGAGATGCTGCTCTTCCTGCACTTTGCACTTCCATGTACTCTTTTTTTTACCCTGTTGAACTAACTTCTACGGAACTGCTCTTGACACAGCTCAGTGAAGGGAGAGGAAAACTCGTCCCTGTATATCTGTATTTTATCATCATGTAATATTTTTACAATAAAGGAAAAGGATAAAGGGATAAAGATAGAATCTGTTCTTAAGATATGTCAGGCTCATTTAAGAACGATTTCTGCTGAAGTTTTATTCTGCTGCCACTCATTATTACTTTAACTGATGCAAGGTGATTTATCACCCCTGTTAATTGCAGGCTTTCCCATTAAGAAAAAAAATCTTGAAGCATTAAACGAATACTTTTAATAATTTTAAACAGCAAGGGAAATTGGGGCAATAAAACCTGCGTATTTAAACCTACCTACAGCTATTTGTAACTCTGCTACAATGTAAAAATTAAGCAGAACTATAACCATACTGACAAAGCAAAATGTGATGGGACTTTCTAAAAACATGATTTAAACATGCAGATCATCTCATTTGTGGCAGAGCTGAGATTTTCTCTAACTGAACGTATCCTTCATCATTCCTGCAGGATTGCAAGACTTTCCCTCTGTCTAGAAAAGCAGTCCCTCTGCGGAAATGCCGAAGCTGTCTGTCTCATCAACCAGCAGGAGGCATCAGAAAGACAGCTGTCATTTCTACCACAGTTCAAAATATTTATCTGTAAAATCAGTCAGTCATTATCAAGTACAGCAACAAGGCTTAGTGACTGTTTCTGTTCCAGATTTCCTGTCCTGTCACTGCAAATTATCTGATCAATGGAACAATTTCAAAACACTTTTCTTTTACTGGTAAGATGCAAACAAAACCCCATAAATACTACCATGACAATCGCTTCTTTGGCTACAATTTGCTTTATCTTATTAAGGAATGGCAATCACTAACACACACAGACCTTCACCCGTGCAGTACTCTGCCCCTTTCTTCCAAATGCAACTTCAAAAAGACCTGGAACTAAAATTAGCAAAAGGCTGCTATGACGGAAATGAAACAGACTGACAACGGATTAAACATTTCAGGAAATTTAACACTTCTGTTTCCCTGTTATGAACTTCAAACACCATCACACACTTTTGTATTTGCACTTATAGCATGACCATTTCAAACTTAACACAGTGACCTTCCTAATACTAAAATACCACAGAAAAGCAAATTCTAGAATAAATTTCATCCGATTAAATCTAATGTTAAAGCATTTACTTGAAATACCTGTTGATTCAGAGTAAAACAGTAAGAATAAATAAAATTAGCTTGATTCCCAGAAAGATATCTATGGTTTTGGCATGAAAATTGGTGCAGGTGTATGTATGCAGTATTTTCAGGAACAGAGAGAATGAATGTTACAAACATGCCTATAGTTCAAGAAAGTACATTTGCTCCTTCCCTCCCACCCAGATAATCCCATTGTTGATACAGTTTACCCCACTGAACAAACTGATTTGTCCTGGTAAATCTGCCTATCATCAGAAAACCTTGCCAGCGTAGCCAGTATATCTTCAAATTCCTCAGAAAGGTCATTTTAGCACCTCTGTGACACTAAGCCTGTGCTTAAGTGCTTTCTGGAATGAGGGCCCAGGATCTTTATAACTGAAATAAGATTTTTCTAATTACTCATGCGTTTGGCAAAACCATGTCACTACGCAACAGCATTTTACCAATGACTGGCCATTTACACCCAGTCTTCTGCTTTCCAACAACTGCCTTTCATGCTGTTGGCAGATTTGCCAAGAAAATCAACCTTAGTTTTTCTGATAAGGTTAAAAAGCTTGAGGCAATCAAATCTCCAGCCATGCTGTTCTCATCTTTTACTAAAATTTAATATTTGAAATATCCAAGGTAGGAGAATTAAAAGTTGCCGGGGGAGGGGAACCTCAATCTATCCCACTCCTACCAGTTTAATGCCAGTGCCAGCACTAGATGCCCAGAGCCTGGAGGAGGATCACAGGTCAGCAGAGCACCAGAAGGAATTCCAGCCACTCCAGCCAGTCAGTCAGCTTCCTCGGGGGCACAACTCCCGATGTAGCATAGGCAACGAAGGAGAGGAGTCAGAGATGTGAACACACCTGCAGGGCTGTGATCTCGCTGACATCACGGAGACATGGAGGGATGTCTCCTATGACTGGAGCACTGGAATGGAAGGATAGAGGCTCTTTAGGAAGGAGAGGCAGGGGAGATAAGGAGGAGGTGTTGCCCTCCTCTATGTCACTGACCAGCTGGAGCACACGGAGCTTGCCCAGGGATGGATGAGGATCTGACCGGGACCTTACGGGTCAGGATTAAAGGGAGGGCAGCAGATAGGTGACATTATAGCAGGGCTCTGCTAAAGGCCACCCGACCAGGAAGACCAAGCAGATGAATCATAGAATGGGTTGAGTTGGAAGGGACTTTCAAGCCCATCTAGTTCCAACCCCCTGCCATGGGCAGGGACACCTTCCACTAGACCAGGTTGCTCCAAGCCACATCCAGCCTGGCCTTGAAGACATCCAGGGATGGGGCATCCACAACATCTCTGGGCAACCTGAGGCCTTCTACAGACAGATAGGAGCAGCCTCACGCTCACAAGCCCTGGTCCTCATGGGGGACTTAAACCACCCTGATATTTGCTGGAGGGACAACACAGCAGGGCACAAGCAAGCCAGGTGGTTCCTGGAATGCATCGATGACAACTTCCTTATCCAAGTGATAGAGGAGCTGACGAGGAGGGGTGCCAAGCTGGGCTTTGTTCTCACCAACAGGGAGAATTCCTTGGTGGGGAATGAGAAGCTTAAGGGCAGCACTGGCTGCAGTGACTATGAAATGGTGGAGTTCAAGATCTTTAGGACAGTGAGGAGGGTGCACAAGCAGGTCACTATCCTGGACTTCAGGAGAGCAGACTTTGGCCTCTTCAGTGATCTGCTTCAGAGTACCATGCAATAAAGCCCTGGAAGGAAGAGGGGCCCAAGCAAGCTGGTTATTATTCAGGGATCACCTCCTCCAAGTTTAGGAGTGATGCATCCCAACAAAGAGGAAGTCAGGCAAAAACACCAGGAGGCCTGCATGGATGAACAGGGAGCTATTGGACAAATTCACACACAAAGAGGAAGCCTACAGATAGTGGAAGCAAGGACAAGTAGCCTCAGAGGAATACAGGGAAATTGTCTGAGCAGCCAGGGATCAGGTTAGGAAAGCTAAAGCCCTGATAGAATTATATCTGGCCAGGGATGTCAAGGGCAATAAGAAAAGCTTCTGTAGATACATCAGTGATAAAAGGAGTACTAGGAAAAATGTAGAACCTCTCTGGAAGGAAATGGGAAACCTGGTTACCCAGGATATGGAGAAGGCCAAGGTACTCAATGACTTTTTTGATTCAGTCTTCACCGGCAAGTGCTCAAGCCACACTGCCCAAGTCGCAGGAGGCAAAGGCAGGGACTGGAAGAATGAAGAACCGCTCATTGTAGAAGACCAGGTTCGAGACCACTCAAGGAACCTGAAGATGCACAAGCCCATGGGACCTGACAAGATGCATCTGCAAGTGCTGAAGGAACTGGCAGTTGGAATTGCTAAGCCACTATCCATATCTGAGAAATTGTGGCAGTCCAGTGAAAGAAGACCAGGTTCGAGACCACTCAAGGAACCTGAAGATGCACAAGCCCATGGGACCTGACAAGATGCATCTGCAAGTGCTGAAGGAACTGGCAGTTGGAATTGCTAAGCCACTATCCATATCTGAGAAATTGTGGCAGTCCGGTGAAGTTCGCACTGACTGGAAAAGGGGAAACGTCACCTTACTGATCAACTCTTGCTGTCATAGAATTACAAAAAACCCGCTCAAAACCACTCCCTCAATCATCCTCATTTGTCTATCCACTGAACTCCACCGTCCTTGTGTTCCAACAAGGCAGATACTAAGAGATTCAGCACATCCTTGATTTAAATTTCAGTATAAAACCAAAACATTAAAATCCCATCCCACTAACATGCCAGTGAGAAAGACTGATTAATAATTTTGTGTGGACAACCTTTAATTATGAACAATCAGAAATTCCAAGAGGACAGTGCATGCTTTATCCAAAGAGTTTGCTACCTGAATTCTCTAAAGACTTCAACAAGTCTCTTCTTAGAATTTGCATGTACCCCAATTTTTCAGAATCTTATCTCTTTGCTCAGGTTTGAGTTGTTTCATAGGGAAAACAAAGGGCATGACTGAAATTCACTTTCAAATATGAAGAATCCATTCCAAATAGATACCAATCAGATTCCAACCTGATTCCAAGAATAGATTCCAACCTGTTCCAAACACTTTGTGTCCATGGCTCTGAAAGCATTTTATAAATGTGAACTAATTAATGCTTTGACAAAAAAATGCTATTATTATTTGTCAAATAAGCAAACGGAAGCATGTGAAAGATAAAAACGAGTTATCTTAGGTAAAATTTTCATACAGAATGTCATAAACCAGGACAGCAAGCCCCATGAAATCAGCATATCATTCAAGAGCATAACAAACTCTTTGAAAGTAAATTGCAAGGCTCTCTTTTAAGACAAGAGCATTTTTTTAAATAGACCAAACCCCTCTGGATTCCCCAGATGAACAAAATACCAGGTGACCGCATAGTTTGAAGTATACCCCTGTTGTATTTTATGGGATGCAACGTAGTAACCAGTAAATTGCACCAGCAAAAGGAATCTAAACGTACATTTTTATTGATATGCTGTGATTAGAAAGCATTGTCTTACTTTGTCAAAGAGCAGCACACAGCTCTTAGGGGTTCATGATCCTTCTGCCTGATGTTGTTATTGACCATGAAATCTAGCTCTTCTCGAGCAGCTCTTAGTTGACTCTCTGTAACACTGTAGCTCATTGACTCCCGAGCACAGTCCTCAATATTATGGGCTTCATCTAAAATGACTACTTGGCCTTTCAGGTTAATTTCCATCTAAAAAAGAAAATTATTATCTAGTAAAACAGAGTGAAAGACATCAACAAGAAACAGCAACAAACAGGGTCCTGTTAAAGTGTATAATCTGCAAGCAACAGAAAATTTTCAGCTTTTTGATCCAGGGGTAACCAGGGGAAAAAAAAAGCTTTATCTTAGCCTGTATGAATATAATCTGGACTTAGGACACTCTCCATAAACCAAACAACTGTGAAGTTTGCAAGCGTTTCTTTGCCACTGATTGAAAACAACATGTGACTGATCAGCTAACGTCCACACCAGGGGAAGCATTACTTGGAATACAGAAATGCTTGGGGAGAGGGGGAAAAGAAAAAATTCTTTAACCTAGAAATTATTTTGTAGATAATATTTTGGATATAAATAGGATCTCAGTTGACCATTGCTTCTAAACATCATGGGGGTTTTTTTTATATTTTCCTTTAACTTCAGTTACCGCAATCACCTTTTTTTTTTTTAACAAATATACTTACACTTTCCCGTATCTGTGGGTCTAGGAGATAATTATAAGGACAAAATACAATATCTGCGCCCACCATGAGCTCTCTGGCTGCAAAATATGCACAGGCGCGAAGCTTCTTTCCCAGGCTCACTAGATCCTCAATATCCCAAGCCTGATACATTCTATGTACAGACTGTTGGGCATGATGTTCACTCAGTTTATGAACACCATGATAGTAAGAACAGGACTTGCCCTAAAAGTAAATAAGCACAGATAGTTAGTGGTTACAAAAAATAATGAAAAAAGAGTAAGCTTAAATCCTCCAAATTGTTACGTGCATTTGGCTATATTCCTGGAAGCACTTTTAACGGCTACTTTTTACGTTGGACAGGAATGAAAAACACATCATGTCAAAGGTAACACGCAAATCCATCCTAAAACATGCATCAATAAAGGACACTTCTTCATCTATAAAACCAAAGACAATTTAAGTCTTACTAAGAATGTTAGCCTAGCAGTCAAGTATGTTATTCCTATGAGCATATATTTTTTCAGTATTGATACCATGTACCAACATTTTCTAACTATTAGTATTTAATTTAAACCAAGTTACAGGACACATTTTTAACTAACATAGTATAAAGAAGTCAGAAGTGTTACTCATTCCAACCGCTCAACTACCTTTCATTTCATTATGTTTAAATAAATGCTCAATTTCTGAAACAAAATTACTCACATGCTTTCCTTCCAGCAACTCTACACACATTTCATTCCTGTTACTACCACTACTAGATACCACTGGATGAATGCAGGTATAATCCCGGCTAGAAAGAATTGTCATAGGGACACTGGAATGCGCTGTTCTCTTCAACTCTCTGGTTATCTGCGATATTTGCTTGTGTGTTCGTGTCCCAAAAAATATTTTGGGAATGAACAACCGATCTCCATTTTCTTTCTTCTTTGTGCTACTAGTATCTTTCTCACTTTCTTTTCCAGAAGAACAGGAACACTCAGTGCAAGGGCCAGATGACTGCACCAAAGTAAAAAAAAAAAAAAAACAACAAACACATTAACAAAATCCCACAGTAAGATGAACATGCTAAATCTGCTTATGGTCTATTTAGAAAAGGCCCTCTAGGTAGCTCAAGAGAGCCTGTTAAATGACCAGGTTGGCCTCTCAAACTGGTAAAATTTTAAAAACGTTAACGCATATGCACCAAGGCCAGATGCCTGAAAACCTTAAAAAGCTTCTAGCAAACACAAGACACAACCTCATCATAACCCAATCACAGCAAGAATTATTATTGAAGTGGAGTATTTACATGCAAGAATAACACAAATAAGCTGCTCGCATTTAAGCTTCAGCATAAGGACTCTCCTGTTACAGCACCTTCAATGAAGAAAACCTTGGATCGACACCCAAATTAAAATACTGAGAACATTCTTCCTTAACACAGAATAAATCTAGACAGTTTAATTAAATTTCTTGCAGATAAAACAGACTAGGTCATATACTTCCCATTAGAAGCATGTTTGCCTTGCCATTATGTCAAAGGCCATCTAGTAACTATGAGAATAAAAGACACATGGGGAATAATTCTAATCAAAACCTAATCCTCAAATATACTTGTTAAAAGTATTGTGTTGGTGGTTTTTTTTTCTTCCTGAGAATCACCACGTCTCATAATATAAAATACTGGAACAACTGTCATGAAATTGTAATAATTAGTGTGAAAAGATACATAGAAAATGAATAACTCATGAGTAAGAATACCCACAAACACCTCCCATAAAAAATAATGAATGTGTAAAAGTGTAAGAGAGTTTGTATTTGGTTTTCAGGTGATAGCACAAATAACAACAAATAGTTGTCCACGCAAATACTCCTCCCTCCCCTTTTAATTGTAATCAGTAAGATTACCCATTATAAACAAATGCTAAGTCATGCCGTGTGTTACACCACAATTCTGGGGATCAAGCTGTCTTTTAGCCTCCACTCTGAGGAAAAGCAAGTTCGTATTACCCTTAGTCCCACTCAGCCTTGTCTGCCATTAAATATTACAATACATGATAGAATGCATGTAAATGTAACCCTTCTGGAGCTGTCACTCACTGGGATAAAAGGTTCACTGATGTGCCAAATAAACAGGCCCTCAAAGCAGATAAAGTTACACCCATGCTGGAATCGTTACATTCCCCTCTCAGGTTGCCAGTAACAGCAGATTTCATTACGGTGTGCTGCCACATTAAATAGCCAGTTCCAAATATCCTGCCTTCTATACTGAATAATTACTTATTCACTGAAAGGATAAAAAGAAGAGTTATGAATGGGGTTCTTGTCGACAGGGAGGCAGGAAACAGCTGACATACGGTGTATGTTACATATGCGGCAATACTCCGCTCGGTTTGTACTCACACAGCCAACTGCAATGCAAATTGTACCTTGATATTTCTATCACCTACATTCTGGTTTGCTCTTTGAAATAATGAAAACCACATTACCATGCTAACAATTAATGTAACCGAAGCATTTACTCGGTTGGGCCTTTAAAAACATGTTTATCTTTTCATTTTAATTCAAGTCAGATTGTGTTTTCAGAGGTAAAAAGAATCGACAGAATTCCAAGATGATACCATGCCACTAAGACTTCACTGCTAATGCTAAGCCTCGCATTTACTTTGTCAAATAAAAGTAATAGAAAATATTAGGACCAATCAGGCAGATACTTTGCAGAAGTTGTTCTAACAACAGGAAAATGCAGTTCAAACAAATATACGCATAAACATGAACAGAAGGCTCTTCTGTGATGGGTTTAACGAAAAACAAACAAATAGTTCTTTTGTATGAAAAGTGTTTTTTTCCATAAGGCTTACAAATTACGCTATTTTACAGGTGGCCTTAAAAATTTTTCTTAAAAGGTTTGAAACTGGTATAATACTGGCTTTAAGAAGAACCTCAGCCAATACTGCAGTTTTAAAATGTTACCTTTAACTTTGAAAAAAGTTTTTTTTTTTAAAAAAAAATCAACATTAAGAAAGCTGTAAACTCAGACTAATTTTAAAGTAACTAGTAGGAGTATACAGCTGCCTGCAGTAGTCATAACTTTTCTAAAAGCCACAGACTCCATTAGCCCAGAATTCATAAATAAATAAATAAAGCCTTTTTTAGAAGGTTCTTTATAATGAAGAGAAACTTTAAGAAAATGGTTAAAACCATTGAAAAATTGAGTTCTTCATGGTTTGTTTACACATTATTCAAATGTGCCGATTTGCACTTCAGTTCTTCTTTATCCTTTAGAAAATGGTTTGGCCACCTATAAATTTTATTAAAACCAAACTATTTTAATTCTGTATCTCTATAAAAATAATTTATTGTAGCTATCACATGGCAAAATCTAATGTGGTGTTAATCTAAGGAAAGAGAATACTCTCCAGCTGAACAAAGCGATAACTCCAAATATGGAACTGATATGGCAGTTTCCATAGCAGTGTTGCCTCATAAAGTACTAATTTTGTACTAATTTTTAGATTCATAACACAGAGACACTGGTTGAACTATAATGAAATTATAAAATGTTTCAATCTATTTATTAAATAATGGGGGGGCAGAGCTGAGGAGAAATTATTAAAATAATAGAAAAATGTTTCATAATACTCTCTGGCTTCAGAACTAAACCTGTTTTCAGCTGTCTAAATCTGGCAGATTTTCATTTGGGAGAGGGGGGAAAAAAGTAAATATACTCCTCTACTTTCTGCGGTATTTAATCAGAAACATCCAGTAACAGACGCTGTTAGAGATCTGATACCAGACTATATGGACCTCAGGGTAATCCATCTTGTTTTTACTTCTGTCACAGGATACATAGAACAGCCTATCGCATCAATATTTATACGGCAAAAACGTCAAAGTCTGATTAAAAAAGGAATAATCACATCCACCAACCTGTCCTACGTGTAAAACAGAGCTAAACAAACACTGGGGCTATGATCTTTGAAACACAAAGAGATAAGAGGAGTTCTTCGTATCTTCATCTACATTTCCCGGTTACAAAGCCATCTAAATGATGCAGCAGTGAATGCCCCTTGTGTGAAATATCACACAAGCACAATCTAGTCAGATATCAGCAGTGACATTACCAGAGCTTTTCAACTATCCCTTTAGAAGCTCTCAGAAAGCACCGTATTCCACTGCTGCTGCAGCCTCTCGGCGGAGCACACAAAGCAGCTGTTTATCCTCTCGCAGTAACCAGCAGGTGAACCCGGTTCAATATTTATCACAGGCTTTCACAGATCACTGCTAACCAAGCAAACGTTTTAATTAAGCTGGAACTCGCTTCAAAGAGCTCATTCAAAATGTCAATCAGCGGGAAAAGGATCAGATACGGTGTCAGGTGAGAGCGTGTAATACAAATCCACAACTTTCTTCATCCCATCGCGGTAAATTAGCCCATTCTAGAGTCCAGACCCTGATTGTAACAGGCTGCCAGTCTCCTGGAATGTGTAACAGAAGTCACCCAAACTCCTTTGTGAAGGTTGTAAGCAATATGTTAAACTGCAATGGGCTAGCACATTAAGACAGATTCTTTTCACAGCTGTTTTTCGATATCCCAAGTGTTTGTTACACTGCTCTCCATTTACTGTTTACTTTTTTTACCTCGTATAAATGGGGATTCCTTAACCCAGCGCCCCAGTTCCTCAGACCGTATGCTTTGACTGCAGTCATCAAGAGACTACCCTACAGGTATAATTTCTCATCTAAACTCACACTAGAACTGCCCTCTCGTCTGAGAATTAACAGCAGAAGGATATGCATTCCCAGGCTCTGGCCTGAAAGCAGCTAAGAGAAGGCAGTCACCTTGGGCAGAAGACCCCCACCCGCTGGATCGACACGTGTTGTTCTGATGCAGCAAGGCAGGCCAGTGCCTCAGGCTCTTACACCCACCAACCCATTCCCTCGCTGCTGGGCTACACGAACAAATACCTGACAAGGAACTAAATTTGCTTTAAGCACAAGACTGACTACAGTAAGCCACAGGTTATACAAAGGAAGGGCCATCTCATTGATTAAGAAGATATTTTTCTTGCATTACTGCATCATCCTAAACAGAGTCCATTCTGGCAACAGTGTTGAACATAGCCTCAGCTGGCTTTATTTCATAACCCACACTCAAAAACCGTTCGTATACCTAAGAGCCTATGCTGTGATGCTCTTCACAACATAAACTCCATGTAGTTAAGCTGGAGAACTACTAACGTTAAATAAGGCCTCCCTGCAATTGTTTCTTGATACCAGACAAGCTCTCAGTCTGCTAAAGTAAAAGTTCATCACAGGAAAACAATACCTTATGCTTTCATTCTTAAAAAGAAACTTTTTCCAAAGAAACAAACACTCCTTTCATTCTTAAAAAGAAACTTGCACAGAAATAAACACTTCTCTTTCATCTTAGGTTACTTCTTTCTAAAGAAGTAGTAAACAGTGTAGATGAATAGTGAAGTGTACTGTCAGACCTGTGGACACACTCATGTACAGCTCACCTACTGTAAGAAAAATGAAGACTTGTCTTAAAAAAAACAGATTATGACTCAGTATTGTATTATTTCACAGTTAATCTATACTAAAAGTTTTCATTTCACTACATGAAATTTCTAGAGGTTGTAAATCAAGTTTTTCACATACGCACAAAGTACCAAAGCAATCAAGGAAGAAAGGTCTTTTTATTCGAAAATCAACAGCACACTCTGCTGGCCTTTGTATTTCCACCTACTAACTGAAGTTCAGTGACACAAAGCATTTCAAATTCCACTCAAAAGTCCACAGAGCTTTCCAAAACTAATAAAAATTATTCCCCATCAAATGACCTAGAACACAGATTCACTTTTTTCAAGAAGAGATTTAGCTCACAATGTCTTAAAGTAACACCAAAGCTTTTGGCTCCTTGTGTGATTACAAAGGCATAGCATACTGGAGAACAGCTCGTGAAGTTAAAACATACACTGATTAAAACAGAAGTGAATTTGGGACATACAAAGAGCCAAGTGCTGTTGGAAGAGGTGGAAAGAAACTGGAAACGCTTGTTGAAACCAAGCGTATTTCCAAATATGCATAAAACCCCTGCACTGAGAAGCCAAGTTACCTACAGATGGGTATTACCATAAAGCAACATTTAAAAAATATATTGGAGAGGGAAAACGTTCTCTGCCTTTTGAAAGAAGCAAGTAGAATTCTGTGCTGAAGAAAGAAAGGTAGGTCAGACCTCATTCCTTTCCTATATTGGTCTCAAACATACAAGTTCATGATTTCATGGCACGCTCCTATATTTTAATATTGATGGACTATTCTGTCACAACCTTTATAGGCATTCGTGGGAACTGCAGCACTAACGTCATTTGGCATCTGACACTCATCTCTGCTGCCTCACATTTTTTCTTCCACTCGTTTTGGTTCAACAAACCAAAACCAGTAGGATTCAAGCACCAAGAAATGCAGGAAATGCCTAGCAGAACGCTGCAGAGACAGATGCGTATTTGTGTTTCAACTTTTTATGTGATACTTCTGCTATGGAAAGTGGGAATTTAAAAAAAAAAAAAAAAAATCAAACCCAAACCACAAATCTATCACAGAAACACACGGGATTTTTCTTCTTAATCATGTGCAGTATTTATTATTAATTTTTTGTTATAATATATTGTAATGGTCAGCTCCAACCTTCTCCATACTACTTTAAGGTCTAAAAGGCACACACATTAATATTACATGCAATCTTTCATTTACTACATATGCCACAAACAATGAATGGCAAACTCTGATGTCACTTATTTTCCATGACCCTATCTCAAGTTCTTCCATAATGCCATAAATTTACTATAAATTTGAATATAACACACAGGTTTATATCTGCTATACAACTGTTCTCACATATTGACTGTTTACAGGCTGAATTGCTGGGCTAAATTTTGTTCTACTGGGGAGTCACGGTGGCAAGGAGTTCAACCCACTGCTTAAAGAACCACTTTCACAGAAAAAAATTAACACTTTGCAAACCACACCGGTTAGACAGCACCATATAGGAGTAAAAGCCACTGCAGTTCTCACTATAGCTAGGGACAATATATTACTTTAAAGCAACTTAAATACTTGGGAACCTTTACATCAGGCTGTAATAGAGCCGGAGGTACAGTGTTTTCTGAAAGTACGTTAACAAGCTGCATTTCACGCATAATCTCTTTACAGAAAAATATTTTTTTTAAATTCGACTTGAACTAAGAGATCTGACGTAAAAGATATTACTCTATTACTTACTGTTTTGGGAGAAAAAGTAGTGGTTTTCACATTTTTTTCACAGTGAACGATCAGCTCTCCATTTTTTCTCTGATGATAAACTTCTAAAGCATCAACTAGCTGTGCTCCTTTTGCAAAACAATGACGTTTTCTAACCTGCTGAGGAAAAAGAGTGCCGTGTTCAAACGCAACGGACAGAAGTACGGGCTTACTTCACGGAGTCTGTTTCAGTGGCATCACTCGTATTCGTTAAGTTTAACCAAATATAAGCTACACAAGAGTCATTTGAGAAAAGCTATAAAGTTCTAATGACAAAATTCTGTAACAATGACAACAATCTGTAATTATTGCTGAGCTTTTCTTCTTTAATTTTCCACTGTTACAAAACTGATTGAAATCATACCACTACATAGGTATAAGCAGAAAACTTTCCTAACTAAAACAGGAAATAAATTCAAGCCATATTGATCTAGAAATTCAAAAAGTAACCACCTGAGCAATACTCTACAGCAATGTGAAAGCTATTGACAGTGTGCATCTGCATACAAGCACTAACTCATGCGACACCAATATGGACACACGTTACTGAAACACTGCACTCCACACACCAGGCCAGAGATAACTACATTTCACAGGATATAAACCAGAACGAACACGTTCACATGTTATTTGAATTTCTAATACTTACTTGCAAGAGCACTTTCAACTCCAGAATCACTGAGTTGATATTACAGATCAACTGAGAATAAATATATTTTGGGACTATTAGGTGCTTAAATACACAAGATGTAATTTAGGACATGGTAATGCCAACAATTTAGTGCAACAGACCCCTTAACAACAAGTAACAACAAGATGAACAGAAGCCTGTCAGCTATGACTGCGACATGACTCAGGCACTCTCTCTGCCTTCTCTGAAATACTGATTGGTATTTGGTAGCTTTGTTGAGCTACACGTGGGTTATTTTACTGCCAATAAACTTTGCTCACCTGCTGCTCAGTTTCTAAAGGACGAATCCTTTTCCTGTCTACTTGAAAATCATCATTCCCATTGTCACACACAGATAACCTTTTTTTGGCAGACAATTTCGATGCTAAAATTTCATTTGCCTTACATTCTGTAATTAAAAATAAAATAAAAAGGTATGTCCATGACATGGAATGAATTAAATAAGGACAACAGTTTACAAATAGAATTTACTATAAATACCCATGATGTAGGAAACAGTATTAACGTTTCTAGACCCATTAACCACCATTTCCATACAGGCTTCCATGCAGGGCAGAATCATGCAGTACTAAGGACAACAGTTTACAAATAGAATTTACTATAAATACCCATGATGTAGGAAACAATATTAACGTTTCTTTCCATGCAGGGCAGAATCATGCAGTACTCTTATTATGACGGTAAAAAAGTCCCTGACTTGACAGCAAAAAAATTTGACATCACTGGCTATGTATTTCACTTCCAGAACAGACTTTTAGCGGCCTACTGAAGTGAGTTACCTGTGTTTGTTAGTGGGCTTCCAGGTTTTACAGAACTTCCCATTTCAGAATTATTACAAGACCAAGAAGCACCCTGATTCACACTCGTTGCAGCATCGTTGCTCTCAGACTGGGAATGACACGCACAGCGGCATGGCGGTGAGGTCTCAGGCTTTCTGCCTTCCTTTTCACACGATGATTTAGGCAGTGATTTCTCTAAAGATAAAGGACACAGTCGTTTCTCTTCCATTAAAAACTACTCAAGACTATACATGAGAACACTAGACTCTCAAAACAGTTAAAGAATTTCTTTAGGTCCTAGTTATAAACCTTGTGTCTCTCTGTAAAGTCTGAACACACTATCATCACCCTCTGAAAAACCACAGTGCAAAGAACTGTAACGACTTCCAGAACTGAAAAATACACTCTTCCTTTCAATTCAACCTGCTAACTACAAGCCACAAGCATTTTCTTTCAAAGTCCCAACAGCCCTATAATCCCCTTACAAAGATATCTAAATTCATTTTAACATGTGAATTACTTTGCTTGGCATGTGGCCACTACTGGTTTGTTTAACGCCATGCTGCCAATAAGGCAATATGTATAATGGGGGACAAAGACCTGTTTAAGTTTCTGAAACTCAATGTTTAAAGGCTGGAAACCAAGAAGAATTCACTATAATGTATTTGGGCAATAAAAACTGGGCACACAGACACTAAGACAACTTACCATACAGAGACTGCTGCCATGATAATGCAGAACAAAGTAATGCCAAGCTTTTGCCGCTTCCTGTAGGGCTCTCCAGCAAACAGTGTTGCCTGTTATTTAAGCCCTTAACAATCTTTAAGGAGAATAACAAAAACAAAACCAGAATTAATAGGAAAAAGAACCCAAAAATCAAAGAGGATGTGTTCAGCTAAGCTAGAAATAACTTCTAAAAATAGATCAGGACACACACTGTCTTATAAAAAAATGAGAAGAAAACCAAAACCAACCCCTCAATCATCTTTAATAAAAACAACAGGTCAGCAAGCCTCAGCTGTATTTCTCTCAAGAGGCACATGCCTCACTAGCAATGCTCAGCGGTTCACTTACAGAGAGCTGTGAAATACTTACCTGCTAACAGCAGTACCTGATGGGGCTAGCTTGCTTTATTCAGTCTTACCAAAACATTGAAAACATCTGTCAGACAACCAAATCATTTATCCCACAGAGAAAAAGCATTTAAAAATGGTCAAACCTGTTTCAAAGTGTGTCTGTTTAAAAGTGTTTAAATGTGAAGTGTAATAATGAATTTTTTAAAACTCTCTAAAAAGTGAAAGCTTATTGAAATACTATGTTCTGTTTACAATACAGATGGTTTACTAAATCATTTCCTCCTTACATACTTGCAAAATTATACACAATTTTTATTACAGTAGATCTAGTTAAATAATCACGAATCTCACATAACACAGAACTTGTTGCTTAGCATAAATGTTCACAAATCCAAAATGTACTCCAGCAGTTCCTAGTCACGGGCCAGGTATCATTGTAGAGCACAGAGAACAGTAAGTTACGTTACAGCTGAAATTCGCAGGATCTTGGAGGCTGTGGATTTCATGTTAGACTTCCAGATGCTGATAGGTACTGGAGAACAAGCTGTTAGTTTAGCAAAGGTTTGTATAAATTCTACTCACAGCATTCATCATAGCAAGTTGGGAAGGGTAAGCCTTGCAAGGGAACAAGATCTTCACCCCACCAATAGTATATTCTGACACGTCAGAAGACATTGCCAGTCTTTCCTCCCCTTTACTTCAGGTTTGTAACTGCAATAAAAACCAGTATTAACAAGTCAACGCTAACACCCAGGCAAAGCCTGAAACAACATACAGCTCCAAACAAAACCAAGCAGAAACTGCTGCCCTGGTAAGGGGGCTAAGGATGTTAACAGAACTGGCATATAAGAATTCAAACTGCACATCATCAATTCAGACTTGGTCCTTGTTCCAAATGAGTTGCCACCATCAGCAATTTAAATAAAAGTCCAGTGTACTGCACACGCAATTTCAGATTCTATTTCTCAGACTAAATATTTTTGGGATAAGAACCCAAATCCTTGGGGCAAAGTATTTTAGGAGTTTTAATAACTAAAAATAGCCAGTTCTTATTTCTGCAGGTCTATTAGCTTGAACTCCATGACACTGCAAGCTACAAAGACACAGCTGGCAACAGCAGCCTGCACTGTTCAGTCCCTAAGAAAATAGACCCGGACACTGAATTTAAGAATGAGATGATTAAAACCTAACACTTTTCTTCCACGAATAATACACCAGTTATTCAGGGGGGAATGAGGTGTCAGTCACTATACTATTCTGTATTACCTTGCATTTTTCTCCCGCTGGATCATAAAAGAAAGTCAGTTTCCCCCATGCTAAAATGTTAAAATTACTGATTTAAAAATACCAAAGAGGCAGAGATGGCTTAAAACAGGACTACAGGTTCTGAACTACACAGAGGGGTTTTTTTCTTACAGCTTTCCAGCATGTACAAAATAAAAGAACAATCTTAAATTGGCAGATTCCCTGTGATAAATTAACTCACTAACCTGTGCCCTCATCTGACTTTTAATGAGTAAACAAACGCATCCCAAAAATACCAACGTATGGCACGATTCAGCTTCATCATCAACTTTCCCAACAGGAAAAAGAAATCCTGGCAAAAAAATGTTTGCTGACATGAGTTTACACCCCGCCGCTCCTTCCCAGAACCTAACCGCACCCCTTCAAAAGGCTTTTCCCCAGCACATAGCGGGGGAGGGGGGG